GGCGTTAATTCATCCAGCGCTGGATCTTAAATATATTTTTATGCGACCAGACATCACAAATGAATGTACATTTATATTCAAATTTTCTTCACTCATTTGTCAGTTATCTCAAGGCAAACATGTTAGATGAATACAAAGTTTTTTGATCTCTTCAAAACAGCAATTAACAAATTGGTGTTTATTATTGTGCAGATACCAAACAATAACTTTTAATACAATGTTTATAATCAATAATGTTCAAATATCGTGAAAGTAGAGTAAGAAATTTTGAAATAGACAAAAGTGTGAATAAATACTTCATATTACTTATTTGTATTTTATCAATTGAAGTAGAATTTTGTGCGAAAATATTTAGAATCTTTATTCTTTTTAACGATAAGATCCAAACCGCCTTCACGCCTTAAATAGTTAACCGATCATAATGAAATTTTGTACACACATTGTCAGAGGTAGATGCAGAAAAAGGACATTTTATCCAGAAATAAATACTATTCGCCAGGGACAGAAAGGTCAGTTTTGTGTGGTCGTCAATGATGTTTGACATGTATTTAGGATATCAATGCGAGTTTCACCACAAGATCACACAATCATATTCAAAGGAACGAGTAAAATGTTTTACCGTTCTTCTACAAGAGAATAAGAACAATTCTAGTTGGATCAGCAATTCACTTTAACCAGACGATTAATAAATTGAGGCATGGTTATTTCCAATTCACGGTCACATGTAATTTGGTGATGATCCTTCCGGTAGTCAAAAACCTCGTCATGGAACAACGAAAAATAAATGTCATGGCTTGGTCACGACCTGAATTTTCGCAAATTATTTATTTCACATCAAGGATTACCTACAATAAAATAAAAGTTATCTTTACATGCTTAAAATAGCGCATTAGATTTTAATTAATATCAAAACTGAAGTGGTAAAAATTAAACGAACTTTAGCTATGTTCTGACTCAGACATCTGCCGCCCCGCCAGATTTATGGCAAATTCTCTAGTTAGCATGAACAGGTATATAAACTCCTAGGTGTAAAAATTTTTTAAAATTCAACCCCTAAATGGATGAAAAGGCACAGTCCAAACCGTTCAAAGCTTGAAATTATGTATAAAGTTTCTTACACATACAACGGTATCATCAGTCCTATAAAGTGGGTTTTCAAAATGCCAATCCTAACTGGGTGAAATAGGGGTTAAAAGTTTAATACATTATAAAATTATTAAAAAAAAAGATTATCGTCTTATGGTGGAAAAGGTTTCAAGAGCTTGACACCACCGACAAAGGTATGGTTCAGGATGGGTTAAAGCTAATATATCGAGTTGTTCGGAAAGTCATTTCGTTTTTTTTTGTGGAAATGAAAGACAGTTTTCGTATAATAAACAAATACTTTATTAAATTATATATTGACCGTTCTGGTCCAACACCTTTTGCCATCTTTCTGGTAGTAGCATAATTCCACGCTCATAAAATTTTTGGTCTTTGCTGGCAAAAAACTGATCGAGGAGGTTTTTGACCTCCTCATTTGAGGTGAAGGTTTTACCGTCTAAAAAATTTTGGAGTGACCGGAACAAATAATAATCCGATGGTGCCAGGTCTGGAGAATATGGTGGGTGTAGCATTGTATCCCATTCAAGCTGTAAAAGCTTTTGGCGAGTGACCAAACTTGTGTGAGGTCTCGCGTTGTCTTGGTGAAACACTACACCTTTCCTGTTGATTAGTTCTGACCTTTTCTGTTGAAGTGCATCATTCAGTTTGTCCAGCTGATGACAGTAGACTTCCGAATTAATCGTTGTGTTATCCGGTAAAAGCTCAAAAAAAACGATTCCTTTAAAATCCCACCAAACAGACAGCATCACCTTTTTTTGGTGAATATCGGCTTTGGAAATGGTTTGAGCCGGTTCATCTTTTTTGCTCCATGACCTCTTGCGTTTGACGTTGTTGTATACAACCCATTTTTCGTCCCCAGTGATGATGCGCTTCAAAAACGGATCATTTTCGTGACGTTTGAGAAGCGAATCGCAGACGTCAATGCGGCGACACAGATTTCTCTCTGTGAGAACATGGGGAACCCATACATCGAGCTTCGAGGATAATCCCAGGCCTTTCAAGTGGTCATAAACTGTTGAATTTGATAAATTTAACCTCAATCCGATCTCACGTGTTGTTATTCGCCGGTTCACATCAACTAATGCCTTTATCGCGTCTTTATCAGCTTCAACCGGCCTTCCCGAACGTGGTGCATCTTCGACATCAAAATTGCCGGATCGAAATTTAGCGAACCAGTTCTGGCACTGGCGTACTGTCAACACACCTTCTCCATACACATCAGTCAATTTCTTTCTGGCTTGAACAGCATTTTTACCCTTTCTGTAGTAAAACAGTAAGATATGTCGAAAATGCTGCTTATCGCTCTCCATATTTAAAAGGGCACCAACCAAAAACTACTGCGTAGAATTAATTGGAATTTTTCACACACAAGCCTTGCTATATGAGCTCTCAAAGCATATAAAAATTATACGGCTTAAATGTGAAGTTGGGTGCAAAAGAATACAATTAAATCCTCTATCGGGAAAAAACGAAATGACTTTCCGAACAACCCTATATAATACATCTTTCTATTATTAATACATATTCTCAAATTTCTTTCCCTAAAACCCAGTTTGAGTAGGAAGTAGTAGGTGCTGTATAGACTCATTTACAATCACCAAATAATTATGGTAGGAAGGTACACTAATTTTTAACGTGCTGCTGTTGTTTGTGTTGTTATTATTACGTGGGAGAGAATAAATCAAAAGTGTATCATTATTTGATCAGGTGGTTGTACTTGACCGTAACAACTGCTTTGTCAATCCCGTAGGTGTATAGTGAATACCTGACATTAAGCAATTTAAATACTGAACAAAATTCCACATAAGCATAGATTACGTATTTTAAACTAGCTATAGGTAATACTTATAGGTATGTACCACATATATGACATGACAGATGATACCTATGTGACTTTTTAAGATTCTTCTAGCGCTCTGTCGGCTTCTTAACTTCTTTCAAACAATGAGAATGAATATTTATTTTATGTCGAGTCCATAGTCCATAAACGGATTCAACTTTGAGATGTGTGAACATGTAATAAGTGCCATTAAAGAAAGTTTTAAGAAATATTCCTATTGCTTAATAGTTATATACGCGAATATAAAAATAATTAAGGGTAATTATATTTTACAAACGCATTTTATGATGCTTATATTTTTTTTAATAAATCATCAGCTACAGGCAAATAAGATTAATTATATTACAGTTACAAATATACATATAAATATATTTCAATTGATCGTAGGTAGGTTACGTAAACCTAATTGCGTCTATCATATTTTTCATGCAAATACAATCATTTGAATGAATAGAAAAGAAATTCAATTATTCACTATTCGTTCGGTTCTTTTATTTCTAGGTGCAGCATTCGTAGGATATTAATTTGAATCCATATTTTCACTTTCTCGCATTAGTATTTTATTCAATCTATGTTGTAACTTTATGTCATAACGGACAGACAATTAAATCCATTTTATAAAGGAATAAATTCAGTTGAAACGATATTTTTAATATTAATGTAATAAATGATAAGAAACCTTTTGGCGAATGCGCGAGGCACTATCTTAAACATGTATTATTTGTTTTTTTTATTGTTTAATCGAATGTACCAGGGACGTTGTTATTGGTGGGTCCGGGTGAACCATGGCGCAAGCATTAAAACTTCAGGCCCATGTGTTGGGTCACCCTGAATGTTAACCCGATGTCACGTAAACACTGAAATCGTGAGCACATTCAACTTCACATAACCCAAGATCACAAGACGGTTTGCTTTTATTTAATGATACAAAAATATCCAAATCAAAAGCGTTTGTGATTATTTCTCGGCGAACATGATAACTGAATAAGGTACCCACGAAAATTTCACTTCCTTTCTTAGGGGTGATGAAAAACAGCTTATGTACGAAGGGAGGAAATTAACAAGCGACTTGGGATACTATTTTTCCTACCTCTTATCACGTAATTCTAGGTAGGATAGATATTGGTTCATGTGGAACTTAAAATTTACAATGGTGTGGCCCAATCTTGGGTCATGTTAAAAAAAGAGCAGGCTACGTTCCTGATAAGAAAAAAATACTAGCTATATTTTTTAAGTCAATGAAAATTATACTGACACACAGTGATACGATAATTCCGAAATAATCTGGCGTCAAACTGGTCGTTAAAAAATTGCAATTTAATTGTAATGTCGGCGCGATCAGATAATTTGTAACAGTTTTACAGTCGTTAAGTTTCTTATTGTCATTGGTCATGAATTACTTTACACGTAGATAATGACGGTCAGTTTATAACAACTAAAATATAATATAAATTAAAAAAAAATTAGATGTCGTTGGTCAGTTGGTTCAACAGAATTTCATTTGGTTTTCTTGTATGCACCTATGCTTAATGTTTAGTAGTTCTTTCAATTTATTATATATACACTTTAATTATTTATGAATGTTATTATAGAAATAAATAATGGTGCTGTTTTTAAATAAAAATTTCAGTATTTTTTTTTAAATTTTTTATTTTTCTGAGATCTGGATACAATTATCAAAATCACAATAAAAAGGTAATACTAAACAAATCACACTTATTTATAAGTAAATTTAATTTTAATGTTGCTTTCGCGTTTTTTTTTTTTCATTTTATGCCCAAATAACAGCACTTTTATAATAGCTACTTTTATGTGTAGACATGCGTTCAGAAATAGGCACCTATCCCACGTGCTTTATTTTTACAATAGGTTCCGAAACAAATAAAATTCATAATCTTGCATATCGCAAATTAATAACAAAAACACCAACACAACTGCTGTTTCCTAGCTGATAACGTTATCGTTTTATGGTTGGTGCAGTTTGCTTTACACCATTTTTCCGTATTATCGCGTACTGACAATAGACTTTGTCATCTGTATGTGTAAAGGTACTCACTGTATAGCCAGTCTGAGCGACTCCATGCCTTTGGTCCGTTTTCGCACACAGTTTTCCGGGGAAAATAGTCGACGCCGCACCGAGAACTTGTACTTCCGCTAATCAGATTTTCCTAAATGCACGCACGCCCGCAATATCTCTTTCACGTAAATAAACGTAATCGCGAACACATTACGAAACCGAAACGCCGAAACAAGCAACCTACAAGAGCAAACGGCAAAATCTGCACAACATAACAACACCGAGCGGCCGGAGACCGACCGTCAGCTGTTCGCTCACTAGCTCTAGTACGCATGTCCTGGCTAACGATTTAAAGTAAATTCGTCCGACACTAAGCAACATAATAACGTAGACGCAAATGGATCGATTTCTTCGTCTTGTCGCTAAAAAAGACCCAGTTTTTTAGAGTCTTTTGCAGCGAGAATTCTTATTTTGAACGTCCACTCTGGATAGCTTTTAGTAACGACATGGAGCAAGAAGGCACATTTGCTCAAAACCTCGCCAAACCCAATAAGACTTTATTTGCATAATGCTTACTTTCTCATTAACATATTGTATAAACAAGATTCGTTATATAGAGCACCACTGAATCTTTGCTCCTTGATAAATCCTAAACCTACATCAAAGGCGGAAGGCAGACTATCCTTAAAATCAAAGATTATCTGAATATTTAAGTAGCCAAGAACGTATGTGATACTGTAATGTTCGTGGGTTTAACAAAACTAACTTCTAAGACTGATAACTGTTGGTTATATTAAGATTAGCAATGGTTCGGTGGTTTAATTGTAATAGTAATGAAAAATAGTATAACTCCAATTGTACTTTATTGGTGAGTAACAACAGAAACGTATTAACTTAAAGGGAGCTTCTTAGCACCTAAATTTTAAAATCTACAAAAGTCTCTCCAGCCTCCTTAGGGCCATAAAACCAAGATGTGGGCTAAAGTGACCTCGACAATACGAATACATATATTTCTATAAAACTAAACTCATCGTTGATTTCCAACAATAACGACAAAAACTATTTATTTANCTAATTATTAAAGAACTTAAAAACATTATTAAATTATTACTAAACTTAGGTTATGAATTATTCTATTTATTTACACTACTGTTGATATATCACTATTCACTGCGCTATTTATTTCACTTCTATCACTATCAATTTATTTCTGGATTCACTTCTGCAACGGTCAATTTATTTCATCTTTTCTCGGCGATCGTGTCTTCCTTTAAATACTCTTTTGTTTACTTTCTGGAAACATCCGGATAGTTTATTTTTCCTTTGAACTGTTTAACTGCTTTCTCAGAACGCAGGTACGACACACACACATTTACAAATACGGCGCACATGAAGAAAGGCGACCTCGGCTAGTCGGCGAATCGATAAGCCGTTCACGCACACGTGTGGCCGACCGCACACAAACACACTCGTGCTCGCTACAATACTTTTGGGGAGTTAATATATTTTAGGTTCACCAATAACCGATGAGTGACCTAAATGCTTAAATCCTTTAAATTACATAGGTATTATCCAAAATCCTTATGGAGTTTCTAGAGCAAAGGTCGATAGATGTGGACTGATTTTGTGACGTATCAATAGAAAGTAGGTACCCACTGTTTTTTGTGGAGTATATATACGATATTGCATATCAGTTTGTTTTTCCATGACAAAATATTAAAAAGATAACGCAATGCAGACCTTCGAAATTATTGATGACATAGTTCAAATTAATATATGTATAAATCAATTATTTATCACATACTGTTTGCGTAATTAACATAAACTAATGATTTAACAGTTGAAACGGTTAATTTGTTATCAAGCACAACCTATGTCTCCCTTGAATATTTAATGGACGCATTTGTAAAAACTAAGTAGTGTAACTGCATTGGTTAATTTTTTTGTGATTCTAATGGTATAGGTTTATTATTAAGGTGGTAAATCACTTCTTATTGTGATTACTTTTAGATATTTGGATTAGTTTTATTAAATAGCGTTGTCAACCGACTCTAGCTATCTTACAACTTTAAAAAAATGAAATCTGTAACTTTGTTGTAAAAATTAGAGAAACAAATACACTAATTTACAAACCTAATTAAATAGCAGGGTAAACCCCTTCCAAGAGAAACTATCAAAAATCTACCAAGAAAATATATTGAGGAAAGGAAAGTATTGTCGGAATACTTTACCTACTCCGTAACTGATAATAACAGGACCGGTGTAGGTAAGGATCTTCAGCAAAAATCGAAGAGAAAATTACGATGCTTTGTGCAGCAACATTGAGCTTAACAATAAGCTATCGGCATCATTCAGACAGGTAGTGGTTATTGCCGATGGAACAAAAGGTCCAAAGTATTCTTCGAAGCAAAAATTAAATTGCTCTACCCTTTCGGTCATTATGTTGCAGCAATGCGAACCATGTCTTTATTTTTTTTAGTCTGCTTGTGGCACAGGTTAATGTCCTTGCGTTTTAACATTAGCATCTTCAATCTTCAAGAGCGAACACATCCATCCAACTTTTATGTATGAAACTTATACATACATCTTGTCAGTATTGTTCTCACAACTACAATTTATAAACGTATGGTTGCAATCGAAGAGGTAAAAATGATAGAAAAACAAGCTTTTTTATTTTAATAGTGTTTTGGGATTTCCGTAAATTATTTAATTTTGAAAACTCTCCCTGTTTGGGGTAATTTCCACACCGTTCAATTTATGATTATTTGGAGACAATATATGTTGCTAGGCTTTAATTATTAAGACAGTTCTTCTAGTTACGCATTACTGCTCATTTGGTTTGATTGAAAGATTATCCTGTTAAGATTAGTTGCTTTTTTTGTAAATAAAGTTTTGTGTTCGATTTTGAAGTTATTTTTATTGAACACTTCGTGAACATTTTGAGAAAATATACGCTCGTGTTTTCACGGCAACAATNCCACCACCCACCCATTCCCACGATTCCTGAAAGCAGGCTGAAGAGTGCCTTCCGCCCTACCTTCCGGCATAGCCCGGAGGGACTGCCCACCCACCAGCATTACTGGCTGGTGGGAATGAAACACCCAAAAGTTTTAAAGTGTTTTTAAGTTATTAAAACACTTCATCTAGTTACGCATTACTGCTATTGGTTTGATTGAAAGATTATCCTGTTAAGATTAGTTGTTTTTTTTTTGTAAATAAAGTTTAGTGTTCGATTTTGAAGTTATTTTTATTGAACACTTCGTGAACATTTTGAGAAAATATACGCTCGTGTTTTCACAACAATATAGTGTTGTGTAAATACTAGAAATGTACCGGGCACTTGGTTTGGATCCGGCACCTTTTAGGATCCGGCTGGGTACCGGAGGATGAAGACATAAACGATTAACCGTAGTGGTTTTGGAGGGTAACTGGCACAGCTAATGCTGAGTACCCGATTATCCGGTATCCGGCAAAATCACTATCAAGTGCGTCTCTAGTATATACTAATTTTTGGCTAAAGTTAATTAGCAGTTATGATCCGTGATCCCAATAAACCGAATTAATTTCAATGTCTACGTGACTGATAGTGTAATAAGCACGAAGCAATTGAAATTCCCAATGACTCAATCAGCGAAAGTTCAATTTTAATGAGTAGCAGAAAAGACGGTTTCTTTACAAAATGTTTACTTTGTTTTATTAACTAGTATTGAAGTTCAAGGGTCATCTATTTTAAATGGAAAATGTTTTGAAAATAATAATCAGTAAGTACGTACCCAGGTAGGCCGTTCGTTTGATATTAAAAAATGTAAACTATCAGCTGTACTATTGTGTCTTTCATGGAAATTCTAGTCAATCATTATTTTATTGGAGATTCACAACAAACGAAGTAATCGTCCATATATTGAACATACAAGAAACTCGAGATCTTTTTTGTGTTCCCTTGACGTATCTACACATTGTTTTACATTTATTCCAAACTCGACATTCCAGTGCGAATTGTTTTTTTAATTCAAATTTCTATTCATATTTTGAAAAACAATCAGCCTCAGCGATAATCATAAACTTTGGGATTTATATTTTTAATTTTGAATGGTTACTGAAGATTGACTCATATTTTTCAGTATTTGCAAGAGTTTAGTAACTGTAGTTTACGTAGAGGCTGGTACTTTTAGAAATGAAAATTGGTAAAGCGGAAATTTTCCTTAACTTGAATTTTCTTTAACTTGAGCACAATTTGGTTTCATTTCGGAGACTTGGTTCAGAGATGTTTCACTGCATTTCATTTATGATTTTTCAGGAAGGTTTAAAATTAAAAAAGATGTTTGTATTAAAATTTTCGCAAAATGTTTTCGTAGTAATCTTTACTTGGTTAGTCTTCTGCCATTAGTTTTGGGAGATACTCATAATGTCAACTTTTATACTGTCATTCGTCAGAAGCGAGGAAAACATGGACAATTCATAAATTTTTCTGTACAATCGTTCCAAACCCTGAGGCCGGTGGAAGGTTTTCCACTGACTTTTTCTACTTGATGAGCATGGTAGGAGCGACAAAATGAGATCAGAACATATTTTTTAATGCTCCAGTTTTAATTGTAGCATTATTATAGTCTAAATATACATATTTATTAACCCTTTTCTAGGCCAAAAAAACAAAAATGAGACACTGTTTAACGGTCTATAATTCAAAGATTCAAAATGTGAAGACGGTTAGAATTTGTGACATACTCTACAACAGAGGTGTTAACGTTTTTAAAATTCTAATGTTTTCGATTAAAACTTCAGCATGTCTTTCGCCAACGGACCGTTAGATTCTACGACAACAATAAATTATTGCAAGCAGGCTAATACGTTGCTGTGCACGTCTGGGCTCGGGGCCGTACATTATCTCGTCACCCGTGTCCTTTAACCCCGGGTTTATGCATCAGATGTACCTATTATTATCCTGTCACTCGAGGCGAATTGCACATTGCACGTTTCGGACTGCACGATATCAAGTTTCCCCGAAGACCTGATGGTGTCTGTATAATGATGGATGCACGTAATGTATTCAAGAAATAATGGCATCATATGTATAGAATATTAGACATATCAGCACTTTTTTGTCATGATCATAATCATAAGGTCGTCAGTCTTAAGACTGTGTGGACACGCATCTCCACTCTCTCTATCCTGACCTAATCTTGGCATTTCCCTAAAACTAGAACAACCCACATCCTTAATTATTTGCGAACAATAATCTAATCTAGGTCTACTTCTACCCCTCTCAACTCCCGTTTCTGCCTCTGTCTTTGACTA